TTCTCCTTTGCTTTGTGTCCCCCCCCCCCCCCCCCTCCCCCCTCTGCTGCAGAAGCCAAACTTTATCGTGCTACGGTAAAGGACGCTTTTTTCTTGCAGAAATTCAGATGAGACGATTGATAATCTCATGTCCGTCCGTTCAATATGTCGCTGAAGCATTGAGACCCGGAAGTTAGAATCGGCTCGTCTGGCTCCATCCAAAAAAATGACGATTGACAGTTTGCTAAAACCCTCCCTCAAGCAGCGATTTTCCAGTCGTAGCTTAGAAACCAACTGCGCAGCACACGTTAAAGCTACATGTTTATGCATTGGGCTCTAAAAAGATAAATACCTGTTTAAAAAGTTGTAGTTTAAAAAAAACTAAAACCACAAGAACAAGGAAAAGATTTAACGTTAAGTTATCTGCTCTAACGTTAGCATGTGCAACTGAGCTTTACTTACATTAACTTTAGTTTGTGTAGTGATGACCAGCACATCCACTGTGCAGTATTTCCCCACTGTGGAATTTATGCTAACAGAGTTTATGCTAACGTTAGCGACTCTGTCCTTCTTAATACTGGAATTATGTCTATATGAAAAGTGTCTCAAGATAACTTCTGTTATGATTTGACTCTATGTAAAGGTAAATTGAATTTACACTTAAAAAACCGCCCCCAAATGTTGCCCAAAATAGCCCAAAATTAACTAGCCCTCATAGATGAAAGTGAAAACACGTTTGAAAATGCGAACAAGACCCCGTGTTCCCCTTTTACATGATTCTCCTCTTTTAAAAAAACAGCCGGAGACAGCTTTTTTTAACCAATTCATGGAGCTAGCGTTAGCTTAATTAGCTAGCTAGTCACAGCCTGGTACTTTCTGCCAACGTGAGTTTTCTTTTCGGTTAGCAACATCGACAGTCGCTGGCTAACATCTAAAAAGCGAATAACATCAATTATTTTTAAAACTGTGAGAATGTAACGCTAACGTATAGCACAGGGAGGTTATTCCACTGCGTTCTCAGTCTTAATGCTAAGCTAACAAGCTACAGCTTCATATTTACAGAGGGTGGTATCAAAATCTTCTCATCTAACTCTCTGCAAGAAAGCAAATGAGTGAATTTCCCAAAATGTCGAGCTATTCCTTTAACATGTAGATAAACTGCCAAAGTGGCATATTTTTTTTTTTACATTCTGGGTGGTTTTTCACCCAGACGGGAGTCCCTGGCTGAGGGGGAAGCGGGGGATGTTGTGGGCGTGCCTTCGATGGGCGTAGAGCTCATCTGCTGTAGCTAGCCGTGTGTGTGTAGGCTGCTTTTTACTGTGTTTTGACACTTAAAACTTCAGATGTCAAGTCGGGGGCATTCATTTTGGGCTAAGCCGTCTGCGAGCAGAATTAAAATGAGGATTTGGGCTAAACAGCAGCACTAGTTCCGGTTTTTAACTTGACCAAAATGTGAATTCTACTTCTGTGATTATATAAGTGTTGAATTTGACGATTAACACGTAATTGAAATTGATTCTGTGTTTACAATTGAAGCCATTTAGAAAGCAGATGTGCATTTTTTTTAAAATTTTGAGCAGGTGGTCCTCATCAAACCTTCGGCCTGGAGTCGCCTCAACGAATGCACCGATTTGTAACGCACGAATGTTGCACAAGTGTTTTATGTTCTGGAGAAGACCTTGAAGTTCCAGTTTATTTATTAAAAAGTACACTTGATAAGCTCTCTGGTCTCTTTTTAATGAAGCCGTTATAACGTTAGCGTATGCTTTAGCTTGGTGGCTGACTTAAGCAACTTGTCATAGTTCTGACTTTTATAAATTAAATGCTTGTTGAAGCTAAATTCAGGAAGTCAGATTTTAATTTTAAAAAACTCATTACTGGTAATTTTAATTCTGCTTTGAAAATGTTACTTAAGTATATATATAGATAGATGTACTACTACGAGATGTAGTTGAGTAGAAGTATAAAGTAGCATGAGAAGAAAATAATAAAGAACTGTACTTGAGTAAACGTATTGGTTATAGTCCACCACTGATATCTGCACTACAGGGACGGACATATAACAGAAAAATAACCTGTTCTGATTCAATCAAAAGTCCAACACGCTCATTTTTTTAAATAAAAATGGTTTATTCTCTTTCAATATAGCTTTTGTTCTATCCGTAGCAGAAAAGAGCCTCCATGCCATTCAGTGCTAAAACTGGATCTCAGGTCACTACAGCATCGTAATGACGGACAAACGTCTTTACAGCACAACACTGGCCTGATACTGAACCAACAGTCACTTTGCTCTTTTTAAAAACAGGTTGGAGGGAGGGGGGGAGGGGAGGGGGTGTTGGGGGCAGGAAGAGGAAGAGGGTGAGGATTTCAGATCAGATTTTATCTGTGACTCGGACCAAGCAGCTCAGAACCCCCCCCCCCCCCCCCCCCCCCCCCCCCCCCCCCACACCCCCCCCACCGCCCCCCGCCACCAGCTGTCCTTCCG